ACTTCTAACAGAAACTGCAGTGAGTCAATTGGCAATGACGAGCATCAAGTTGTCCCCGTGGCTCTTAACCGAAGCCACGTAACACTGTGGGTTTCTAGAATGATGCCGCTTCCATGACTCAATCAAATAAGTTCATTGTCTTTGCTACTGCTTCCCACGGTTTGTGATTCGTAATAGAAAGCTATACTCAAAGAGAAGAACACTAGAAGGCGCCACGCGCGATGAAGGAACGAAAGTAAGAATGAGCCCAGGGCGGTCTCGCCCGTATCTCGGCTACGGCAAATTGTATTTTTTCAATGTGATTCGTAGCCCATGCGGGCAGAAGGCCGCCCAGCCGCGGCGCCGGTTACACAGTGCCACTTCAAGTTGGCTTAGAAAAGGAGCAATCGAAGCAGGGCCAAAGCGGAGGTTCCGCTCCGGAAAAGTGGCGGACGAACCGGAGCTGAACGGGCGTCCGGCGCGCCACTTCAGCTCCGGTTCGCCCGCCAATTCTCCAGGGCGGAACGCCTCGGTTTGGCCCTGGTTTTGCTCCTGTTAGAAGCCAAGGCTCCCTGTGTTACTTGGTCCTTGCGAATCCGCACCGCTTCAATGTTGAACCTTTATCTCATCTACGAGGAGGCTTCGAAAGGCTCAAGCACCGGAGCAAAGCTTCAAGCCAGTGTGGCAAAGAGGAATCAAGGCTGGCTGCATCCTGCGGCCACTGATCGATAGAGAGTCGTTCATGCTCTTGTTTTGGCCCCCCTCCACCTCGTTGCTTCAATGAAAAGTGGTTGTCGATGATAATAAACAAACACGTGTGAGATCCGAGACGGTCTGTTTGCAACCCGAGAGCAACCCCGGGCCGCCACCGTTTTTAGCGACCCAATAGTGGAAGTCAAAATTGATAAGGTACATATATAATCACTGGACACTCCACTAGCTCATCCACCCCATGCATCGCCCTTCTTCTCGCTGATCGTGATTCTGGTCTTGGTGATCTAAAGAAGGAGTGACACGCGCTCGCGGTGGTGATGGACAATTATTGGGTGCCCATAACGACCACCTCTACTTTCCTCCCTTTCGAATGACGCCGAAGCCTTTCGGTTCGGAAAGTAGAAAAACGTTTCCACAATGACAAAAAGCGTCGAGGAGGTCTGGGGCTTATGAACCAAAGCCGTTTTTGTGGTCAATTTAGGTGTGAAAGAAGCTTGACCGACTGTGATCAGCCCGTTCCTTACCCCAAAGTGTCTCCACCAAATCAAATACGGCCCCACATGAGGGCATCCTTTTATCTGTCGCCGTTAGTCGCCTTACGCGCTGAAGCGCTTGTGCGCGCGCGCGGTTGTCCACGCTTTCTCCCTCCTTTCGTGTTGCTTTGCAGCAACGCAAATTTGCAGCACGCCACGCGGCTGCGCCGCAGGCGGCTGTAAGGGGGGGCCACAGAAGTCGGCGGCGAAAACCTTCAGTTCTGCCGCGCGCGCACGCTGCAGGGGTTATGATGCCAGCTGGCAATCTTGAACGCTGCCCTACGATCTTTAGGAACGCTTTGCTTACTGTGGGTTGTTGGATAATTGAATGAACGCGTACGAAAATCTTACCAAAAATCCTTCGACACCAGGCCCGCCGTCGCCTGTATTCTGCCCATCTTTTCAAAGTGGTAGCGGCGCAGCCCATTTTGACTTGACCTATTTCTGGGACAGTTGAAAGTTCTAAGACTCTGCGAATGCCTCCATCGGTGCGGATCGGTGCTCGAACAGCTGTCCGTACGGTTCAGCTTCGATTGGGCGTCCCTTGCACATCCTCGGCTTGCCCTTCTCGTTCCCAATACCATTCCGCTTCCGTCCTCCGTTCCGCTTTCAGCCGGAGCTCCGTGTACTTTGATCATCGTCCTAGCTAGCTTTCCCTTGTGCTTCTGTCACCCTTCCTTTCACCGCTTGCGATTGTTGCCAGGACAACAAACTTGAATATCATGATCACATTTGTGCCGGCTTTTATGAGCCGTCCAGATCAAATTGTGTTCACGGAAACACTGAAATCACATCGCAGAAAGTTTTTCTCACGATATTTTGGCATCTGGAATTCAGAGCATAACAGCGAAGTCTGTGAAGAACTGGGAATTATGCACGGCAGTTTGCCGCGTATGCGTCGTCCTTGGGAATGCTCTTCTCTCGGGATAAGTGCAAGAAGAGTGGAAGATAATCAGAAAGAGAAGGCAGGTTGTGGATTCTGTTTAAGGGAAGGTAATATCTGAAAGATCTCGGAGAAGGAAACTCTGGCAAGGATGTTCGATGGGTGGAACTGTCGCACATCGACATGACCTGGCCGTCGAGAGCCTTCAAGTTTTTCCGTTGCAATTGAAAAGGCTGATATTCAAGGCTTATCCCTATCGCAGTCGTCTCCGCTTTATGAAGTCTGCGCCGATTGCGGGAGACAGATATTGCCATGGGACGGGATGTCCTCCTCCTTCAGATTACAAGAATCAACAGCATTCTGCACTCTGGATCAGTCAAACCAGCAAATCTGTTCACCCCATCGCGACCTAATATGCAGCGGAAATCCGACGCCTAGATCAATTTCGACGTGCACAATTAAATCCGCCGACGGTTTGCCCAGAATGCGGCAAGGATGCGCCTGTTAACTTCTGGCCCACGTGGCGGTCATGGGTCGTCCTGGAATGCTGAGGCCAAGGGTCCAGGTGGCAGAAAGTGATCGAAGTCGCTATGCTCTTGGGATGAGGCCGGCCTTTTTGGGAGTAATTTCATGTGCCGCTAATCAAGCGCCTGCGGTGCTTGCAAATCCGCGGCATTATCGCTTCATTGTCATCCTTCGACGTATTGGTCCGATCATGGGAGTGGACGTAGGCAGATTTGAAGTTGGCGGTCTTTCAACTTTGTTGATCAGCTGATGTTTGCATCAGGGATATTTCTGATCGATGTAGCATACGTCTGATGAAATCCGGCGATGAGGACAGCTGGGTGGCCATCGCGCCGGTATTGTTTACTCAGAACCACCTGAAAGCACCGAAAGTAAATACTGGGAAACCCAATCTGCTGGTACTGGCTGGTCGAACTTGAGGGCTCATCGAACGGTACACTTTAATCTGCATTCTGGGCTGGGTTTGATGCTACATCAAATTCTGAATGGACACTTCTTTAAGAGCTGCTGATCAATCCATTATCTTAAATCAGATACGGGGCCAGATACCGTGGCGCTGCCATTGTATGACGGATGAGTGAAGTGTTTTTATCAGACCGCGTCTCTCGCGCTCGCGCGCTGCGCGGTTTATGCTCTCGGGCGCATAAACCGCCTCTCTTGAAAGACTGCCTTACAACTGCGAAGGTCAGGCGGTCGCGAGACCCGCGGCGGCACCGCGCGTCGTGCGGCTTCGGAGGCGACTCCGCGAGCTGCGACGCGGCCGCTTTGGACGCAACCTGACAGAAGTCATCGGCAAAAGTTCCGGCAGATCCTGTACGCATACGTGGGCTGGCTGCTGGGGGGAGTCGGGGCCAAGAACGGCCGTCCGTGCCGCCTTACGACGACGTCGCTCTTTTGCCTTTTCCAAGCAGCTCGGATTTCACAACAGTTCCCAATTTTTGAATCAGTGCGTCCTCACCTCAAGACCGGCTTCCTCTGAAAGTGATGCTTGATGGATTCAGCCTCCCTTGCTTCGTGTCGAAGCCGTATTGCACTTTACAGCGCTCGCTTCGTGAAGTCGATCAGCGGACAAGCCACAGTCATGTCGGCTCGCGTCGAAATATCCAATCTTAATGAGATCCCTGAGATGATCGCCCTTCGCAATCGCAATAGCTGCCTACTGAGTCCCACTATCTCATTCTAGAATATCTTTGCGCGGCTTAGACTTTCGCAAGAATGACGCCTCGAAAAGACTGTGATATGTATACACGATGGACCAAAAGGAGTTGCGCGGCAAGTGCATTGGTCTCGCCAGATCCTCATTCGCTTTTGTCTTCCTTTGAACCTGCTGGTACTGATTGGAACCACTCTATGGTGGAAGGACTTGTAAGGACTCGAGGACGACGTCAGCAGGCTACCAGGCCCTATGACCATTGAAGCCCCGTTGTGCCAGAAGCGTTCTCAATTGCCCGTCTCGATTGACGCCTTCCATTTGTGCTAATTTTATCGTTGCCCCTGTTCTTCTGGCCAACCAAAAGCTTTCCGGACTTGCTCGGTAGAAACCTTTTACGCTGCACGAACTTACGTCAATTTGACAGCGCTGCACGAAACTGCTCGTCACCGTTTAAGCGCGTACGAAAAACTGATAAGCCACACTGTCCATCCCCTTTGAGCGACGCTCCAGACGCATATCCTGACCTTCAGGTTGAAAAGCGCGCGCAGCCGCGGGCGCCCATGCTGGCCGCTTCCAAGCGCGTGCGCCTCTACTCACGCGCGCCCGTCTAGCTTTCGCCCATCCTCGGTAATTCGATCGACCGCTGCACCCCTGGCTTCTTGAATGACCTGCGCGGAGGCGGCGGCTTGCCCTAACTTGAGGTCGTGCAGCCGCTCGCGCGGCCGCGCGTCACCTGTGTGCGCTCACGCGCAACCGGAAGCCGTGCCCAACGGTTTGCGACTCCAAACGCGCATATGCAGAGTCACTTGAGCTGCAGTCAAAAGTGAGGCCTGAGCCGTCACGCGGCAGAGCAGCCGCGCAAGGCTGCCAAGCAGGACCTAGCGCGGCCGCGTAGGGCCGCGGCGCGGGGCACGGGCGGCTATGTATGCACGGCCCGCAGCTGTGTCGACGTTCCTGATGCCAAGATTCTGCCACGTGACTCACGTGCCAACTGTCTTCCCTTCAATGCCAA